TTCATGTTTATGATTATAGCCTGTAACTGTGGGACAATATTTTCCATATGAAAATGCTATAATTTAGTCCTGAGAACTTAATTAGGTTCTATAATTTTGAGTGACACATGAATTGCTGCTATATTTCACAATTTTTAAAATTCTTTTTGTAATTTATACATCTCTAAAATCCTTCTTTGTATATTATAAGAGAAATGCATTTAAAAGGCATAACATTCTAACATACATCATTACTATTCCTAACACATCAGGTTGACCTGCTTTAGTTTTTTGGAAAACCAATGTAAGTACTTTTTCTAGGCTAGTTACTGTCTTGAATCTTAATAAGTCCACTAGCTAGTAATGTTAGATTTTGATGTTTTATGTTAATATTAATTTTAATGTGGCAAAAAGCATGAAAGTTTTTCATTTTCTGGTCATTGATGTATTAGCTTTCTTTACATTTTACAATCCAGCTTAAGATATTATTATAAAATCTTGACATTCTGAAACAGTTTCTTTACATAGCAACATAACTCCTAGCAACAAATTAATCAGCAAACAAAACAGAAAAGAAAAAGAAACAACAAATTAAGACTGATAATGTAAGGCATTTATGAATATGACACCCATATTGTTTAATTCCTATGTAGTTTCAATAATTCTTAAGGAAAGTCTATGTAAAATTTACAGGTTAGTGTTTCTTTGGCAGCTTTATTGTTTTGATGTCCTTTTTTATTTAAACAGTATTTCTTTAACATTTTCTTTAAATCTTATTAGAAAGAATAGCAAGGGGTAGGAATGCCTGATGAATTTCTGTAGCCATCCTGGTTTTCCTTTTCCCTGTCTCTTGTTTTTTTTCCCTCTTTCTCTTCCTTTCTCTTCCTTCCTTCCTTCTCTCCCTCCCTTGTCTCCTTTATATTTCTCTCATTTTCTTATTTTTCTTTCTTAGCAAAGAATAGTGTAGTGAATATCTTTATTCTTCCTACTAGAATGAGTAACTTGTAGAATGTACTATGAATAACTATGAAGAAGTATGGCCTATTGATTTTCTCTGAAATATATAGGTATAATGGCAACCAGTATTGTTCATTCAAGCTTTCATTGAATGAGATGATTGTAGTGTATTTAACAATCTGTATTCCAGAGTAATTACTGTTAAAATGATGAGCCTCATTCCGTGCTCCGTCTCACCTCTAAGTCTCTAGTAATTCACATTTTAAGACAAAAATTAGAGCAACACTGATAAAAGTTACTTTTGTGAAGCATACATAAATTTCATGAATAAATTGGCATTTGAATGGAATCTTGAAGGTACTGGAAATTTTGAATATAAAAATATGGTGGGAAAAGTCCCTCTAATATGGAGAAAAGTACTGTGTATATATTTTGCTTTGTTTGGACATATGAATTCTTGAAGTAGAATGGTAAATAAAGTTGAAATCTAAGTTGGGACCATGCTAAGGTGAAGTCATGTCCCCCGTGTGATAATAAGAGCTGGGTTTTAGAATGTTTACCCACATAGTAAAATATGTTGGAAAATAGTTGCATGAAATCAAAGAGATACTTTAAAATTTACTAAATCAAAGAAATACTTTAAAATTTAAAAATTGGCTACACATTTAACACTATAGTAGTCAGTGTAGAATGGTTTTAGTGAATGACTTCTGAGGAATCATCTGCAAGTCCTTTTGATTATGTGAAGATTTTGTGGTATGATTTATTTTTTTATCACATATAAAGTTTCAAATAGTTCTCTTACTTTTTAGTGAGTCATTACTATCTTATTTTTTTAAGCAAACCATATACAGCAACTATTAGGAAACACATAATCATCAGCTACTTTATTGTACAGTAGCTTTTTAGAAGACATTTGTAATCTTTAACCTATCATTTGAGCCCTACGTTTGTGACCAGAGGAGAACCCACAAAGAGGATATAGCAACCTCAACTGACCCACTGAACAAGTTCTTTTAAATTTTTTTAAACAGGGAATTGAACCGAGGACCTTCACATAGAGCTACCTCTCCCACCTTTTTTAAAAAATATTTTTTGTTTTGAGATAGGGTCTAAGTTGTCCAAGCTGGGCTCAAACTTGTGATCCTCCTGCCTCAGCCTTCTAGAGTGCTAGGATTACAGGTGTGAACTACCATGCTCAGTTCAGCTTCTTGATTCATGTCACAGAAAAAGAATTGCAGGATGTACCAATGTGAGGCATAGATAGGTTTATCTTCAACTAGGATAACTGAAAAGGACACACACTGAAGCAGGGATTCAGAGTAACCCACTCAAAAAATCATGAGGCCAGCTTTTAAGGATTAGTTGAGATGGGTCGGGATTTGGTTAGTCATTCTCTCAATTCTGTAGTTCTCTGGAGTCCTTTCTGCTTCAAGGAGGATGTGGTTCCCTGAGATTATTGCCTGTGCTTGAGAGTGAGCTCATAATAGGGCAGTCTTCCAGTTTCTTTTCTTTCTGGAACCTGAGGTGACTACAGGTTTAGAGGCTTCTAGGTTTCTCAGGATGAAGGGGTCATGGGGGAGGGGCCTGGGACTGGATATTGTAACAGCTGATAATTAGATGTCCCTGTAAATCCTGAAAACTAGTCATTCTTATATTGGCACACTCAGTCTTGAAAGTAGATGAGATAGTCAGGAGTTACTAATCAAAAAGAAGGGACTGTAAAGCAGCCAGGGGTGGAATTCACTGTCCAGGAGTGAAGATGGTACAGGCAATGTTATCCATTGTTCACTAGTAGCAGCAGTGTTGTCCCTCTGAGGCCAGTTGTGGCATGCTTTGGCATGAACCTGCAGCTGATGAGACTGTCTTGTCTTTGTGCAAACTCTGGTTCCTCAGCCTTCTCAGCAGGTCTTTTGCCTACTCAATTTCCTTTTAATAAGTATTTATTTTTGTTTGAATCAGTCAATTACGCTTTCCTTTTGTTTGTAACTAAGAATTCTGACTGATGCAGTCATCTCTAATGCATGTAATTAAGAGTCACTATATTGGGCAAAGCATTTAGATTATATGAAAAAACAGTACTTTAATAACAGAGATAACCTTAATAATAATTTTAAATGTTCTCAAATTGACTTTTGACATATATGTCAGAATCCTTTTTCACTTTCACTGTGGTCTAGTTATTAGTAGGCTGATCTAGATATTATTGGGCTTAATTTCATAAGTTTTTTCTCATGCACACAGGAGTGGGCATTATGTAGTGCCCAAAATTTGGTAGAATCTATAGAAATGTCCTAGATAATGGAACATCAGCCTGGACAAAATTGATTTATGTATACATGAAGAATATATTTAGACTTTGACTTGTCCCCAGTTTTGTAGAGCTGTATAACATTGAACTAATTGTGCAATAAAAAATGATGGAGACTAAACTAATCTCTAGTGTATTTGTAAGGCCATATAGAGCAGAAGATGAGGGGTTCTTTGCTCAATAAATGCAAAATGAACAACTAAGACATAGCTAATAGATATGTTAAATGACAAGTTTAATAAGTGAAGGAATCTGAGAATATTCAATATCTGTCATTCATGGTGTATGTGAGAACCATTGGTGAACATCTTTGCATTTGAACATCTTTGCATATTCTCAGATGTTGTGTTTGAGACAGTATAAGGTAGTTTTGGTTAAAATTTTCCAAATCAGACTTCCTAGATTTGAGTCCTGCCAGTATCACTTATTAGCAGTGTGACCTAGGGCAAAGTACTTAATTTCTCTGTCCCTTAATTTCTCATCAGTAAGTTGGGTTCAGAAATAGAACCTACCCTAGAGAGTTGCTGTGAAAATTTAATGAGTTTATGCATGTACAATGTCTGAAGTAATTAGAGTAATGCAAGATATTTAGTACTCATCATTGGCAGTTATTTTGATATTATATAATCTCATATAATTCAGATATATTTTATCATTTTACTTATAGTTCTTACATAAATATTAAATTTGACACTATATTTTCAAACATATCTAAAAGATAAGCAGAATGTTTTATAACATTCTACTATTATTGATAGACTAAACATTTTATAACTATTAAATATTGCACTGTTATTTTGGCACAAGGATCATCCATAATGACTAGATTTTTTTTAAAAAGGCACTGTGGTCTGAATATTTGTGTCCCCCTCCCCATTCATATGTTGGGATACTCACCCCAGGGGTGATGGCATTGGGAGACAGGGCCTTTGGGAGGTGACTAGATCATAAGAGCAAAATCCTCCCTGATTGAGATTAGTACCCTTGAAGATACCCCAGAGAGATAGCTCAATCTTTCACCATGTGAGGGCACAGTGACAAGCGATGTTCTATGAACCCGAAAATGGATCCTTACCAGACACCTGATCTTGTTGGCACGTTGGTCTTGGACTTTACAGCCTCTAGAACTGTAGGAGATAAATTTCTGTTGTCAGTATGTAGGCCCAAAGCTGTGATACTTTTTCTCACTCATCATAAAGGTCACAGCTGAAATAAGCTTCCCATTTCCTTAGATCATAAATAGATTTTTATCTGTTCTTTTATTCCCTTTTGAGTTCAGTAGAATTTTGAAATACAAAGAAAATAGTGGTGTTGTCCAAGAGTATCGCTATCAGTTGAGACTGTTACATTGGTGTATCCTTTTCAGTGCATTAATTTCTCTTATCTTGTTTTTGTAATTCAGATTTAATTTTGTGCTAAATTATTCATTTTAAACAGAGAGTGTTTTTAATCAGATCTTGGATTTCCTAAGAAAATTGGGATTAAGGTGCTTATAAAAGAGAGAGATAGCTCACCTCTTTTACCATGCAAGGACACAATGAGAAGCATCATCTATGAGCTCCAGAAAATGGGCCCTGACCAGGCACCAAATCTGTTGATAGGTTGACCTTAGACTTCACAACTTCCTAAGTACATTTTCATAGTTTCTTTTTAGGAAATATTACAGTGATCAGTACAGGTTTAAATTTTAATTTAAAAACTTTAGTTTAACTAAAATGGCAGTCATCTCAGAAACCAAATCTGTAATCTCTCTATGTCTTATCTTTGCTCCCTTTGTAGGACCAGGGTTCTGATCAAGCAGGAAAAAAGAAAGCAAAAGGTAAGGAAAATACTGTTTTTGTGTTAGCCTTATGCAAATAATGTTCTGAAACTTTTTTTACCATTAATAAATTCACATAAGTGAAACTGGATTATTGTCTTCCAACCAGTTTTGACTGACTTCAAGATAATTGTTGATTTTCGCAGTCTTTCTAGTTGTAAGATATATCATAAATCTGGCCATATCTCACTACCCATAGTGTTAGCACTCTAATTTAAATCCTCTTTGGATTATACAGTACTGTCATGCCTTGAGTTCTAAGTTCTACTTCTATTTATCTTGTGTTATTATTGACTATGCCGCATAGTAAATTTGAGCATGCATATACTTACAACTGAGCAGTATGTGTCTAAGAGAAACTTCTGCACATGTGTACTTGAAGACATGTACAAGATTAGGGATTGGGGATTGAGTCACTGTTACTTCTAAAATAGCAAAAAGAGAAAGGAGAAAGAGGAGGAATGGAAGGGAATAACATGAACATTCATTAGCAATAGCTTTGTTAAGTTTTGGCATATCCAAATAATGGTATGGCAGTGCAAATGTGTCAACTACAGGTACTTAGTGTAGATCAATCTCAAGTACATAATATTGAGCAAAAGAAGCAACTAATAGAAGAATCCATGCAGTAATATCCTTTTTAAAAATGTTCCAAAACAGGATGACAAATAAGAAACCAAAACCCAGTGTATTACTATGACCAAAAGTAGTAAAATGTAAAGAAAAGCGAGTGACAATTATGGTAGCTGCTCTCCCTTGGTCCCTTCTCTTTCCTCCTCTCACCTCTGATTGACATCTCAGCCTGCTGCACTGTACAGCTGTTGCTCATGTCAACAATGTCAGTGAATTGAAAGAGTATCTTTCACTCCAGCATTTTAATAGATCATTGACAGTTTGCCATTCCTTTCACATTGAAAGAAACTCCTCCCATGCTTTCTTTGACACATTGTTTCGATTTTATTTATGTCTCTCTGATTGTTCCTATTTTCAAGCTATAATTGATTTCTTAGTCTCTGAAAACTCTTATTTTCTTCAGATTCTTTTCTTATTGTTTCTACTATGTGAGACTTGACAGAAAAATTGAGCCTAGTTTTGTCATATACCTTTGTCCTTCCTAAGAACACAGATTTGGGGTGAGCATAATTCTCTAGAATGAAGGCACACTCCTTTGCAGACAATCTTTGTACTGTCTGTCCCTGTTCCTGAAACCTTCTATTACTATGCTCTTTGGCTAAGTCTGACTTATCCCTATCTTAGAAATCATTTCTTTTTTTTTTTTTTTTTGGTACTGGGGATCGAACTCGGGTCTTTGTGCTTGCGCAGCAGGTGGCGAAACCACTGAGCTAAATCCCCGGCCCTTAGAAATCATTTCTTAAGAAACTTTCCCTGTCTTCTTGTCTGCCCCCTACTGACTCCCCAAACCATAATTTACATACTAAGGGTTCTAAGGGTTTTGTACCATTCCTTATCATACTCAGTGATAATTGTGTTGTCTTCCACATTTTGATTTTGTCTATCACAAAATATAGTGCTTTAAGAAGTAACAACTTAATTCCAAGATACCATCATTATTGACTTAGTAATCCTAAAGGTCCTAAAGGTTATCTCCTTGCTGAACCAATGTGTGATCTTTTAAAGACATTTAACTCCCAATTTGGGGTTGTAAATCACTCAAATGAAAGATGAATGCATATGTTTTTCTGTGATTTGTTTTGTAAAACAGAACATTTACTTTTTTTTGCTTGATACCTGGCAAGTCTCTTGTAGTTTTACAAGTTTTTTAATATTCTTAAACATTGACAGTATTTCAAGATGTTAATGTGAAAAGGCCTTAACCTTTTTAAAATACAATAATGTAATCACTTTCAAATATGACTATTTGCATTAAAGTTTTTGCCAACTTGGTATTTTCTTGCTTTTGACAATTCGCATTTATAAACAAGCTTAGGGAGTTGTATTATGAATTATTTAGTGGAAGAGAAAATTTTGAAGAGAATTTGTTACAGTGTCTAATACATAAAAGTTGCTCAATAAATAATAAATGGCTTTGAACTTGGTAAATTAAGGATGTAATTTAGAAAAAAAAAGAGAATGACAATAGGAATAATTATAGTTCAAACAACCAAAAAAATAAAAACTGGGTAAAGAGTGATAATTATGTGCAGGCCAAGTTTAAAGAAACAAATGGACATCTAGGAGTCATGGAAGGGTAGCAAGGAATTAATTATTGTTTAGATTAGATCTTATAGAGCTATTTTTCCTTCTCACTTCAGTTGAATTTTGTTTTTTGGTACTGGGGATCAAACTCGGGTCCTTGCGCTTGCAAAGCAGGTGGCGGAACCACTGAGCTAAATCCCTGGCCCCTCAGTTGACTTTTAATGGCACTTAACTATATCTTTTAAGGCTTTTTGTGTCTGAAAGATAGCATACTTTAGAGGAAAACAAGTTTTTAATTTGTCAGATTAGCAGTTTTATTTTTTTCCTACATATAATTTCTAACCTTTTGATACCTGGATACCTTTTTAAGGTTACAATTTAAAAGTTACATTTAACAAGAGAAAGATTATAAAAAGCTATGAAATTTAGAATCTTTAGGCATGCTTCAAGTTTGTCATAATTGACTCTAGTTTGTATGTAATCATATAAAGGTTGTATCACAAAAATATAAAAATATTAATGGTTTAATAGCATTAGTGCTTTTTATTTATGATTTTATCCTAAACCACCTACCTTATACATTAATTTTTTTGTGTATTTTAGGAATACTTTGAAAGGAATAGGTTAAAATCAAAAATGAAATTACTGGGAGTTTTGTCTCCTACTAAAAATTCTGCTGTCAGTTTAGACCTTCTCAATCTTTATACAGTAAATCAGATATCTTGTAAGAAAAAAGCACCTGGTAAGTCTTTCCAATACCATTTTGTTTAGACATTGATGTGATTATAATAACATTTAACTTTCCAGTTAGTTTGCATTTTAGAATTCAAAGCAGGTAGAAATTTTATTTTAAAACTTGATTGCATCCTTCAATTAGAATCCTAATTAATATTTGCTTAAAATCATTTGTTACTTAGTCCATTTGTCTTTGTTTTCAGATTATATATGTGTTCTATAAAATTCATTTATTAGATAGAGCTTACTTTACCATACTGGAGCATCAGTTCTTATATTACTCTTTCTAGGCAGAGAGTTAGTAATATATTTACTCATTCACCTGAAAGAAAGGGTGATGGTATAATGGGCCACAAAGGCAACTTGAATAAGGGACTTGAATGCTAAGATTTTTTTCTCCTAGAAGTTATTAGCCTTCTTTTCTCAGGTTTATCATTAAGGCTCAAAATGTGGCCTTAAGAAACTAATATTGCTTACTTCTCCTAGTTTTACAACTAGAGAAAGAGTTGTTTCTTTGTTTCCAAATTTTAAATTTTACACGTGCCAGGTCCTAGTAGTGGAACAATTTCACTTAAAACCTGAGGGTTGGATTCCATTACTGGCTCGTCATTTCATCAAATGACTACCCCTAAACCAATTATTTGCCCAGAAAGGGAGGGTTTTAAAGGAGGATAGAGAGTCTCCACTAGAAATGTATATTGGGAGTGAGTATAAAAAACATTTCTCAATGGGCCGGGGATTTAGCTCAGTGGTTTCGACGCCTGCTGCACAAGCGCAAGGACCCGAGTTTGATCCCCGGTACCCCCCCCCCGCAAAAAAAAAAATTCTCAGAAGAGACGAGTAGGTAAAAGTACTGAACAGACAAAAGTGTATGTCGTCTATAAAGAGAGACAAGTCTTCTCCCTGTATATAGTTTAAAATCCAATGAGGGAGATAAAGCTAATCAAGAACAATAAAATGTGCAAAGTGCTAAAATATAGAAAGTATATAACATTGTGAGAATACATGGCATAACATAACATCTTACAACACAAGGGTAAAGTAGGACTAAATTAGTAGGGCCCCATTCTCGAAGGGTATGTAAGATTAAGAAGGGATGTTTTTAATTATGTGATAGTTGTCAATACTGTAACTTTTTCTAGCATGGCTAGAGTATTTTTAGTAACATTTCTTAAATGTATAATGTTATGCATCAAACAGTGCCTTACAATATTTATCCTTAAATTATAATTTAACATTTTTTTCACTATAGAAACTGTAAAAAAACCAACCCATGTGAATATGAACAGAGACATAAAAATGCCTCTAAGACAGTATGACTTAGAACTTCCAGTGTCACCTCATCATATACCTTCTAAACTCTGCCTTGATGATACAGAAAACCAGTAAGTTTTAGCTGGTATTTTATTACTAGGTGTTTACATTTGTTATTATCAGTATTTTCATTTATTGTAAAATGTACAAGGTGCTTACCTTCACATGCCATTTTTGTTTGCCCAGTGATTTTGTAAAACTGTTAGGACCTTTATCAAACGGCCTACATATTTTGTACACATATTTTTATTTATCATAAAAATGTTTAATTCTTTTAAAACTCAGTAATTTTATGACCTTGGAATGATTTACTTATAATTGTGTATGTTTCACATGCTTGTGTAGAACACTATGAGTTTTAAATGCATAAAAAGTTAATTTTATTGCTTTTTATATTTTTCACCTTAAAATTTTCTTTTCAGCGGTATACACTATCAAAAACTCAGTAACAAGGTGACATATGGCCCAGTTCAGGTGAGACTTTAAGAGAAGGCTCATAAGGTATTTTAACAATTGTGACGTTCCACTGAATACATTTTTGAATGTTGGGGAAAATTATCCTTTAAAAATTTATACACTTTCAATTGATTTTTAAAAAGCTTTCCAACTTAGAAAACCCATACCTTAAGGACATTTTAATTGACTGCTTATGAGAATCCTTTGGGGATGCTGGTAACATGGCTGTGGGGCCTCTATGTGCATAACATTTGATTCTGCCTGTTAGTGAAGAGTTGTAAAAGGAAGTTCACTTAGGGGATTCTTTAAGTTCACATGTTCATTGAGCAACTCATCTCTTCAAACAAGTGACAGTATTATTTTGTATCAGATTGTAATATAGATTGTGATTTATCCCAAGATGATTTTTCTTCCAAGTGTAAAAAGTATTTCTTAGTAAACAAAATTTTAATTAATTTGAAAATGCAGATTGTGATTAAAATTTGAAATTTTGTTTAATATTCAGTAACATATTATTAGCTCTTCTTTCTTCCCTTTGAATTGCCAGAATGATAGTAGCAGTGATGCTGAAATAATCCCTTGAGAATCCTGTACCCTGGCTTGTGGGTTAATGATACTCAGATTTCCTGTCATCAGAGAGTAGCATGTAGGAATGGAGTGTGAGGGAGGGTGCACAGGGGCAGAGGTTAGAAAGACAGAGGGAAGGAAGTTACTAAGTAACATCTTAGTTGATGACCACTTTCATTTAGAGAGTCCAGTGACTGGCTTGCCACTTCCTTGGACTTTTTCTTTTGTAACTATGCCCTTACCATTTATTTTAGTTTTACTATTTGACCTCTTTAGTTTGTATGTTTTTAAGTGATTTTATCTTTTTTCCTGTAGTCATCACAAGTTATGGACTCATATAGTATATTTGAACCTCAGTTCAGCAGAACAGAAAACTGCTGTTTTAGTATACCATCCTTTTCAACAGAGTTGTCTTCCGATAGACATATTCCAAAACAAACTTTCACTCCCAGAACAGTGCCTAGACCTCTGACGGTTGCATTTGAAAAAAAAAATGAGCAGGTACCTTTGAATCACTAGTTCTTAGCATTTTACATCATTATATTTTCATGATATATTTTTTCTCTTTTTATAGATTTGGAAAATGTAGTTTGAAAATTGGTAATAGAAATTTGAAAATAGTTCAGTGTGTTTTATAGTAGTTATGTTTATAATTGCTAAATAACTGGTGATGTCATGGTGTCTTTTAATATACATGAATTTTTAAAAATTTAAATTTCTAGGTTTAAAATTTTTATGTTCTAAGATATCTGCTAGAATATACATAGAGCTAGGAGTAGTGGCACATGCCTGTAATCCCAGCACTCGGAGGCTGAGGCAGGAGGATCACCATGAGTTCAAGGCCAGGCTGCACTATAAAGTGAGACCTTGTCTAAAAATAATGGAAAAATAAAAAGACTATACAGAGATATGATCAACTATACAGAT